TTCGGGCGAGGCTAAATCGAGAATCTCTGAGATTCAGCGACTCTGGAGGATGTCTCGGGCGCCGCGGCCTTCTCAGAGCGTTCCAGAACGCTCTGAGAGCATTCCTGAACTGCTCAAGAACGGATTTATCCTCGCCCTAGCCTGGTCTGAAGGACCTCGCAGTGGACTCGGACAAGGAGCGGCAGGCCAGCGCTGCGGTCGCAGCGACGCTGGCCGTGCAGCAGTGCGGCACCGGTGCGGACGAGGGCAGCACGATCTCGACGCATTCGTGCGCGTCCGACACGGCTGGCTGCCCCTCGGACCGCGCGGACGGCAGGCTCACCGACACCGAGGGCCCCCTCCTGTGCTTCTGGAGGTGCGCGGCGACATCCTCAACGTCACTTGGATGGCTGAGCAGAGCAAGATCCAGATGGGGGAGGACGAGCAGATCTCTTCAGTCCTCGTGAGGACGCGTGACGTGGACTGCGCCGACGTGGTAGTCCAGCGCGGAGGGGGCGATGAAGCACTTGCCCGAGTCCGAGACGGACACTACGCAAGCGAACAGGTGGCTCCCTCTGGCAAAGCCCGACAGCATCGTCAAGGAAGCAGGGCAAAGGCACGAATGAGAGCTTTGCACAGGATGCAGTGAAGCTCTGACCCAAGCGAATATCGAGGAGAAGACCGGCCTCGCGATCAAGAAGAATGGCATCCAAGGCGGCGGTACGACCGACAGCATCGCGAAGAACCCGGTGAAGCACGGCGCCAAGTCCAAGGCAAACCAACCAAATATCTAGGAGAAGATCTCCCTCGGAAACCAGAAGAAGGACACTCAGGGCTGAAGCACGCGCACGAGTAACAGCATCTCGACGGAAACGGTCAAGCGCCGATCCCAGTCCCAGACGAAAGGCCCTGCGAGCTGGATGACGCAGGAGGTGGTGGCGCCGCAGGTGGTGGAGGCACCGCAGGCCGATCCCCGCGCGGTCCACCTGCAGCTCGAGGAGCAGAAGCGCCTGCAAGCTGAGGCGCTCGGCACCTCGGACCCCGTCGCCACCAGCCAGCGCCTGACATGCTCGTGGCTCACCGCCGCAGAGATTGCAGCTGCCTCCCGTGCCAGGGCGGCGTCGAAGCCCTATGGCGAGGGGCCGCGGGCGTAATTGCGCCATGAGCGGCAGCCGCAGCCTGGACGGCGACGCGGGCGGCTCGGCGGGCTCATTCGACCCCCCGGGCACCGCCCAGGCGAGCCTGGTGCCTGCGCAGCCCTGTGGGGCTCTGGCCCAACCCCCAGTACTGGCCGCTGGCAGTGACGGGACGGGGGATGGGCTACGTTTTTCGGGGGGCCTCGAGTTCGTGCCACGCGAGCCCCGTTGCTGGCGAGGAGAGGAATCTGCGCGCAATGCATCGTCTAATACAATACCTCCTCCGCCTCCTCCTCCTCCTCCTCCTCCTCCTCCTCCTCCTCCTCCTCCTCCTCCTCATCATCATCATCATCATCATCATCCTCCTCCTACTCCTCCACTCCGTTTCCTTATGAGTAACTTCTCCCTGTCGCACCCCGAGGCCAGTTTTAAGAGCGGGCCAGGCGTTTCGCCTGAGAGTTCCTCACCACTTATGACTCTGAAGAATAAACATTGACAACAGCTTCACAGATGGAGGGCGGCTCGTTTTCAATATGTGGCTCTCGCCTTAGCGCCGCGCACATCCGCTGAAAATATGCAAGAGTCTCTTGGATTCCCATGGTCAACGTATCAGAAATGGTATTTTGGAAGGCTTCAGGCATATAAGGGTGCACAAGTTATGTTGATTCGCTGTATTCAAGTCCCAGGAATGGCGTTCAGGCGCGATTCAGGATCGTCAAGACGCAATGGTCGGGTTGATCCGTGGCGTTGGAGTCCCGAGAACAATGTTTTGGCATGCTTCAGGGTCTCTAAACAGTTGCCTTCCAACGAAGCAGTTCTCTCAGTACAAATAAACCGATGTAGGGACCTATGAAGAGGAAGCTTGGAGGGAGGGTGTATTCCAACATCGTTGTTGATGCCCCTTGGGTTTACAGTGGTCCTCCTCCTCCTCATCCTCCTCCTCCTCCTCCTCCTCCTCCTCCTCCTCCTCCTCCTCCTCCTCCTCCTCCATTCCTTGTCTTCATGAAAATCACTTGGCCGTGTCGCCCCCCCTGGCCAATCGAAAGGGCGGTCTGGACCTTTCGCCTGAGAGTTCCTCACCATGTGTGACCCTGCGGCAAAACAATGACAACCGTTCCACCGATGGAGGGCGGGTCGTTTTCAAAATGTGGCTCTCGCCTTAGCGCCACGCACACTCGTCTGAAAAACTGCCAGATACTCACGGATTTAAGGCGAGTCGTTTTCAAAATGTGGATCTCGCATTAGCGCCGCGCACATTCGTCTTAACGTGTGCAAGATTTTAACGGATTGAGGGCGGCGCCTTTTCAAAATCTAGCTCTCGCCTCAGCGCCGCGCAGCTTTCGTCTTAAAATTTGCCAGGGAGTTTCTTGGATTCCCCATGGCCAACGTACCAAAAAGGGTGTTTTGGACATATTCAGGCTTATGATGGCGCAACAATTAACTTGATTCGCGGTGCTGAAGTCCCAGGAATGGCGTTCTGGCACGATTCAGAGTCGCCAAGACGCAACAGTAAGGTTGATCCGTGGCGTTGGGTCCCGGGAAGAATGTTTTGGCATGCTTCAGAAACTTAGAGCGGTTGTCTTCCAACGAGGCAGTTCCCTCAGTGAAGACGATCCTTCTGGGGGCGTATGAAGAGGGAGCTTCGAGGGATGGCTTATTCCAAGCTCGTTGATGGCTCTTAGGTTTACACTGGTCCTCCTCCCCCTCCTCCTCCTACTCATCGTCCTCCGCTTCCGTCTCCTCCACCTCCTCATCATCCTCTTCTTCCTCCTCTCCCTCCTCCCCCTCATCCGTTCCGCTCTCCACTGGCGAGCCGCTAAACATGGGCGTGGACGGAGTATAGATACAGACAGGAGCAAGGGATGGGAATGGCGATGGAGAAGAGGTATTGGTTCGAAAATAAGACCAAGTACTGCGTTTTTCACAAATGAGGGTAGTTGTTTGAAGATTTCACCATGTAGCCCGGGCTGCTCGACGCGCGAGCGGATCGCCTCTGTCGCGCCGCGACGGAAACATAGATTACGTCATCCCGAGGCGTAAACCACCTGTGCCACCACGAGGGATGACAGATGTGCATGCGCTGAGCCACAATGAACGCCGAATGAGCCAATCACTGCTCAACCCGTACATACGAAAGTGGACGGCGCACAGACCATCCCAGGCTACCGCAGAACTCCATGTGGCCGCGAGAGAGGCAGAGACAGGCTCCTGCTCCCACGTGTCGCTATGCCCCCAGGGATCGCCCCCGACTTTGGAGGAGCCCGGCACGGCCCCTTGGTGCTCCTGCTGCGGCACCCGTCTCGTGGTCTCGAAGACTGCGGTCCAGAACTGTTTCTTAGCGTGTCGCGGCGGCGGCGGCGACCTCGGCGACGCGCGATGCCTTGCAAGCGGACGGCGTGTCGCTCCGCTCCGCGGGGCGGGAGGGTCGGGGAAGGCTCGGGACGTTGAAGCCTTGGGACTGAGAAGTGCATAGCGTGTCGCGCCGAAGCGTGGTGGGCCAGAATTGGCCGGACGACACGCTACGACACGCTACCCCGATGGAGTTCCCGACCGTAAGGGGGTCCAGCGAAGGGGGGGAACCGTCGACCTGGAATCGGCGATACATTGCCGATAGCCGATAGCGACTCTGCACGGTCCTCGGCGGCGTGGGCTATGGGGTCCCTAGCGACAGGGGGTCGATGCATTCCCCATGAGCCGATCCTGCCCTAACATTGCCCCTGACTGGGTGAGAGGAGGGGGGGGAGGAGGAGGAGGAGGAGGAGGAGGAGGAGGAGGAGGAGGAGGAGGAGGAGGAGGAGGAGGAGGAAGAGGAGGAGGAGGAGGACAAGGAGGAGGAGGCGAGGAGGAGGAGGAGGAGGACCAGTGCAAAACCAAGATTCATCAACGTTGCATAAACCCTCCCTCCAAGTTCCCTCTTCACAAACTCCTAAAAGGATGTATCTTCACTGCGGGAAGAGCTCCGTTGGAAGGCAACAGCCTGAAAATCTTCAACCGTGCCAGAGCACCACTCCTGGGACTTCATTACCGCCAATCAACGTCACGATTGCGACTGGACGAGCCTGAATCGTGCCAGAACACCGTTTCTGGGACGTCAACTCCGCGAATCAACGTGGTTGTCGCGTCCTGACGATCTGACACCCTGCATAACACCACTTCTGGGACGTCAACCATAATAATCCTCAAAACTGTATACTTTTGAAACGACTATGCGCGACGCCAAAGCAAGAACAACGCTTTGAAAACCACCCGACCTCCATCCGTGAAACTCCTGCAAACTGTTAAAACGATTGCGCGCGGCGCTGAGGCGAGAGCCACATTTTGAAAACAACTCGCCCTCCATCCGTGAAATTCTTGCAAATGTTTGAAACGAATGTGCGCGGCGCTGAGACGAGAATCACTACTTGGAAACCACCCGCCCTCCATCCGCGAAGCTCTTGCAAGCTCGAAGACGAACTTGCGCGGCGATACGGCGAGGTCCATATTTTGAAAACGACCCGGCCTCCATCCGCGAAGCTGTCGCAGGGTTCAAATTTCAGGGTCTTAGGTGGTGAGAAAGTCGCAGGCGAAACGTTGGGCCCGCCATATTGACACGTCTCGCAGGACGACAGGGAGGAGCTATGTATAAAGACAAGGATGCGGGAGGGCAAGGACGAGGAAGAAGAGAAGGAAAACGACGACGCAAGGACGAGGCAAGGACGACGACGAGGAGGAAAACGAAAACGCGGAGGAGGAGGGGGAGGAGGAAAAGGGAGAGAGAGGGCCAAGAGGCGGACAAAGACGAACCCCTAACGCTGCCCCCGAGCTCTGCTGATGGGTTGGAACGCCGCGGGGCACCCGCGCCGACTCTTCCAGCTGATGCAGCTCCTCCTGCAGCAGCTGCGCCTCCTCGGGCCGCCCCCCGGGACGCCTGCCAGCCCAACCCCTCCCGCTTCATCTCGGCGACGCGCCGGGGAAGGGGAGTGAAAGGGGGCAGGCCTTCTCAAAAGGCGGGGCCTTCTCAGAAGCCCTCCGGTTTTCTGAGAAGCTGTCTGCGGCCAGGAACTTTTGCTTAGCGTGTCGCAGCGGCGGCGGCCCAGGCGACACGCTGTGTCTTGCGAGAGGATGGCGTGTCGCTCTGGCCCGCGGGACGGGAAGCTCGGGAAGGCTCGGGACATTGACACTTCGGGACAGGGACGTGGACGGCGTGCCGCGTCGAAGCGTGGGGGGCCAGAACCGGCGGCGCCGCACACTAAGCCAAAGTTCCCCACGGTGCGTCGTCGGAAAACTTCTCGAAAGGCCAAAGCCTTCCGAGCCTCCTGGAGAGGCCCGCCCCACATCCGACTTCCCCCCAGGCTCGCCGCCTGTCCTCGGGGCCCGCCCAGGACGCCAGCCACGCGCCCCCCCTGGCCCCATCCCGATGCAATGTGATGCATAACATACGTTATGTCTCGCCGGGGCTGCTGCTAGTTCGCTGTAAGTTTGGCCCTTTTAAGGAAAACCTCGTCAATTTCCATGGACGCGATGATGCATGACTTTTCGCACGCGGCCGCGCTTGCGAGCAGTCTCCGACTAGCCCGAATGGCTGCACCTGAGAATGTCTCCACATCGAAGGCCTCGACGTTCATAAACCCGCGATACACGAGGCGAAATCTGACGGCGCGTCACATTTCGCCTCTTTCTTCGCGAATTTACATTTGCACGCGCACTTCAACGCCATGGTGTTTGGCGCGCTCCTGGTTTCATGCACGTTGCCGCAGTTGTTGTCCAACCAAATCTTGAGTTCGGCGTATAAGGCTTTGGATTTCTTGCCACGCTTTGACAGCATCCGCCCTCGCGGGGAGGTCGTCTTCCTTGACGACGACGGCCCGCTCTGATGCAGCGAACACGTACACTCGCATCGTAGTCACGTGGTTCTCGCTGAGCCATCTGCAATGGCATTGTGTTACGAATTCCGACAGACCTGCTGTCCTTCAGAATTCGACAGACAGTCAACCAGTATAATAAGGATGCACGATAAGGATGCAAGGGCCTTGGGAACCCATTTTGAAGCTTCCCGACCGGGGAGCGGCCAACGGAAGTGGCCGAGGATGGACCGAGGAGGCAGGGATGCAAGGGTACCGTTGGGAAGGTTGCCCATCCTTACTATGCGGGTTGACTGTACTGACTGTGTTCGTCAGCGTCGATACCATACATCTCGTCGTGGTCGGTCGCATGTAAGGGGACGAGGCGCGTCCCCTAAGCGTCGCACTGCCGGCGGCCCTGCATTCACAAGTTGCCTTGCTCGTCACCGGCTACAGCCACCAGCGCGCTCTTTCCGGTGATCATTTCAAGTAGTACACGATATAGATATAGAGACGCCCATGGAGTGTTGTTAGTGAATGTGAATTATTCATGTAGCGCTGCGCATCATGTCGTCAAAATATGTACTTCGAAATCTCCTCCGAGTCTTCCTGGACTGAGGAGTCGGCCATCGTCAACTGCATGAAAGGCTCGGTGGTGCTCCTCCTGAGCGCGTCCACCCGATGGTGGCGCATCTGCCAAATCCTCGAATTTGGACAGGTCTTCGCCGGAGCCTGCTCATGGAATTGAGGACTTGAAGCATTGAATGATGCGCGCGTTGGTGGATCCAGTGATGTCTTTTATACTCATGGCTGCACCCTCGCATTCGTCATAAAGTCTTGGAGTGGCACCGTTGCTGAAATATATCAGCGTGGTCATGCGCAGGTGGCCCTGCATGGTGGGCAAATAGCCAAACACCATGGCAGGCTCCCCAACAGGTAGACTCGCGATGAGGGCCAGCACTGTGCGCGTGGCCGTCGTATCTGAGCCAATCTCGCGGACGAAGAGGGCTTCTACGTATAGTATGTGACGTAGGTCTGGATACTGTACCAGAACCTCTCGCCCGTGCCGTTTCATTGGAATACTCGCGATCTCTGGGGTGCTCATCCCAGAAAACCTGTTATGTCACTCGGATGGCTTAGAATTCTGGGAAGTTCGCCCCTGCGACAAAACTATGCCCTGTACCACCCCAGGGCTCCGAATCCCACGCATCCCAATGAAGCTCCGAATCCCACGCATCCCAATGAAGCCACAGGGCTCGCGACGACAAGGAGCCCAAACTTTGTTGTCAGTGGAATGCATGAGATGCGTAGGATTTATCAGGTCCTCTCCTTCTGGAAAAAAACCCTGGACCCCCTCCCTCAAGCGCTCCGCATTCAAAGCGCCCCAATAAATTCACAAACTGCGCGACGTCAGGGCAGCCCAAAACCTGTCATGTTACTCGGATGCTTGGGATTTCTGGGGTGCGAAACCCAGAAACCTGCTATTTCACTGGGACGCTAGAATATGTTCTGATTGTTTTGCCTCCAACCAAAATAGCTACCCTGGACCCCAAAAAAATCTGAACGCCAGAAATCCCAGGAATCCCAAGCATCCCAATGAAACAAACAGGCTTCTGGGAGCAGCACCCCCAGACTCCCAAACATCCGAATGAAATACCAGGGTTTGGGCTTCCCTGAAGTCGTGGAGTCTGCGAATTCACTGGGACGCCTGGGTTGAGCGCTGGGGCGGGGGCGTCCAAGGATTTTTTCGGAGAGGCGAAAATCCCAGAAACCCCAAGCATCCCAATGAAATAACACGGGTCTGGGGTTAGCACCCCAAAAATACTGAACACCCCATTGAAATAACAATGTTTGGGCTTCCCTGGCGTCGCGAACCCTACGAATTCACTGGGACGCTTGAGACTCGGAGCCCTGGGGTGGTCCAGGGCCGACTCGTCGAAAGAAAATCCCAGGAATCCCGAGCACCCAATGAACTGAGAGGGTTCCTGGGATGAGCACCCCAGAAATCCTAAATATCCGAATGAAATAATGAAGTTTGGGTTCCCTGGCGTCGCGACCCTGTGAATTCACTGGGATACTTGGATTTGAGCGCTGGGGCGGGGGGTCCAGGATAATTGTTGTCGGAGGGAGGAAAGCCCAGGAATCCCGAACATCCCAATGAAATGACAAGGGTTCTGCGATTAGCACCCCTGAAATCCCGAGCATCCCCATGAAATAACATGAAATAGCAAGGTTTGGGCTTCCCTGACGTCGCGAAGTCTGTGAATGCACTGGAGAGCTTGGGATGCGAAGTGCTAGGGGGAGGGGGTCCAAGCTATTTTCTCCTCGGGAAAAAGATCCCAGGAATCCCGAGCATCCCCATCAAATGACAGGGCTGCTGGGCTTAGCAGCTTAGAAATCCCGAGCAGCATCCCAAAGAAAGAACAATGTTCGGTGGTTACGCGTGCCTGCAGGATGGCTCACGGGCTTTGGGCTTTCTCTGCGGGGGAAGCGCTGTTTTACGTCTTCCGCACTGCGCTGCTGTAGGGCGTTGGCCAACCGAGCAGCGCGTTGGCCAACCGAGCAGCCAGAGCGTGCTTGCCAGTGGTGTCGAACAGATGCGCCAGCAGACGCCAGGGAAGAGGAAGGAAAGGGATGGAAGGAACGGAGAAGGGCATTGCAACATCGCCGACAGAAAGAATGCGATGAATGGGTGCTGTTGTACTAATAAAAGCGCTTCCCTTTCTCATAGAAATCTGGTCCGGGACACCTTCGGGCCCTGCCGGGGAGACTGATTCGGGAGCGCCCCAGGAGGGCCCAAGGCGGCCCCAAATGGCCCCAAGACGGCCCCGGAGGGCCCCAGGAGGCCGCAGGAGGGCCCCACGAGCACCCCAAGACGGCCACGATGGGCCCAAGATGGCCCAAGATGGCCACTCGACGGCTCAACGGGCTGCCCAGATGGCCCAAGGTGGCCCGATGACGACTTCCAAGATCCCCCCGGGAGGCAAAAATTATACGTTGTTTTTTGTCCGAAGTTTCGTTGCCATTTTCGCATACTCGGTTTCGGTCTCCAGAGCGCTCGAGACGGCCGTAGGGGCACCCGAGATCGATCCAAAATGGCCTAGTGAGCGCCCCAGACGGCCACAAGACGAGCCCAGGACGGCCCACGTGCACTCCAACACAGCCCCAAGAGGGCACCGAAGCATCCCAACAGGGCCCCCAGACCGCCCCAGAACAGCCCCAGGATGCCCCCAAGATTGCTCAGAGGGACCAAAACAGCCCTAGAGGGCCCCAAGACGGCCCAGGAGGCCCCCAAAGCGGCCTGAAAACGGCCTCAAGAGACCCCGAAGAAGGCCCACTCGGGACCCTGCATTAATACGTCGACGGTGTGTATATCTATATCTATATATGTATATATGTATGTATACACACACAAGACTGCTCTGGCGTTTCGCGCCATTGCAGGATTGGTTCCGCTAGCCTTGCATAACTATATATATACATATATACATATATACATACATACATACACACATACATACATACATACATACATACATACATACATACATACATACATACATACATACATACATACATACATACATACATACATACATGTACACATATATATATATACATATAATATATAATATATATATATAATATATATATATATATATATATATGTATATATATGTGTGCAAACACATGTGTATATACGTCTACCTGCACATCTACATGTATACATGCATGCATGCATGCATGCATACCTACAGGCATACATACAGATATACACACACATGCATGCATGCATACATACATACATACATACAAACATACGTACAGACATGCATGCATACATGAATGCATACATGCATACACACATACATCCCATACAACTATTAAAACGAGCCAAACAAACAAGCAACGAACAAACAAGCAAACAAACAAACAAGCAAACAAACAAACATATACACACACATGCACACGTGCATGCGTGCATACCTAACTACTTACATACCTACCTATACACACATTGATGCATACGTACATAAATACATACATCCATCCATCCATCCATAC